GAAAAATTAATTGATAGAATAACTTGAATATTCAATAATGAAAATTGCTCAAATTTCACAGCTAGTAAGTAGAATACAAATAAATACAGAGACATCACTTTTAGCCTCATGATAGATGAAATTAAAATGAGTGGTAATAAAGAGTGTTGGTGAGGCCAGGAGGAAAAGCATACACTATGTATAAAATAGGATATAAGTGCAACTTTGGGGAATAGCTCCTGTCCAGTATCTACAAAAATTTTGAATTCATTCACCTTTGAAGCAATAATTACAGCTCACATTCTACAACTCAATGCAATATATACAAATTTGTCTGAAACAAATCACAACATTCTTTATATGGAGGAAATTAATAATGACGTAGGTGATCAATAAGAAAATACTTACAAAGGGGCGCCTGGGTGGCTCAGTCGTTAAGCGTCTGCCTTCGGCTCAGGTCATGGTCCCAGGGTCCTGGGATCAAGCCCAGCATCGGGCTCCCTGCTCCGCGGGAAGCCTGCTTCTCCCTCTCCCACTCCCCCTGCTTGTGTTCCCTCTTTCGCTGTGTCTCTGTCAAATAAATAAAATCTTAAAAAAAAAAAAAAAAAAGAAAATACTTACATGGATATTTTAAGGTATGTCCTAATTCCATTTTTACTAATAAAACATCTCTAGGGGCGCCGGGGTGGCTCAGTTGGTTAAGCGTCTGCCTTTGACTCAAGTCATGATCCCAGGGTCCTCAGATCGAGACCTGCGTCAGGCTCCCTGCTTATGGGGGGCCTGCTTGTCGCTCTCCCTCTCCCCCTGCCCCTCCCCGCGCTCATGGTCTGTCTGTTGCACTCTGTCTCTCTCTCAAATAAATCTTTTTAAAGAAAATCTCTAAAATAGATCACACAAATGTTGAGAAAACTGCATCACATTATATGACACAATATGCACATAAAATAGCATACGTATTTTTAACTAAATCTCTATATTTACAAAAGACTTAAAATTAGACAGCTAGAAAATCTGAGTGTATGTCTCTGTAGGGAGGGAGTCATAATGCATATGTAATAGTAAAGAATATAACTTATTTCTCATTCAGAAGTGTTTGAAATACTTGCCCAAGAAGAAATGTTGCATTGGTAACAACTGTTGGAAGCATACTTGAAACTGTACATCTGCTCACAAAGCCAAAGTTCTAGGTTGTTTCCTAGTTGAATTGTAAGCATTTTTCTCTCATTTATAATGAATGCTCCAGAACAATTATTTGATATACAACTGGCCTTCAGTTCAATGCATGTAGTATATATTATTTGACAGACCTCCAATTTTTAGATACCCAGGTTGATTCTATTTTTAAAAATTTAATTCTTTAATAAATCAAGTTTGTCATATGATTTTAAAGGCAGTGTTGATAAGAATTGATTGCAGGTTATGGAATGATTTATTCTATTCCCTATAACACCTGTATTTGGTATTCAGTCTTCAGTAATGCTCTCGTTCATCCTCTAATGAGTTTCTTAAATTCTGGCAGAAGTAAGTACTCTGCATTTTTCAGGACTTTGCACTTTATTGAGGTCATTGACCCCATCTGGATTACATGTGCAGTTTCTTTAATCCCGGTCTACACAGAGCAGCCCGAGTATCCAATGTCCATCCACTAAGCACGACAGGCTGTCCTCCTGTTTGATATCCAGAAACTGACTGCCAACTCCAAAAGGAATCTTGGGCATCAAAGCTGATCCACCCCCAACACAAACCTTCTCAAAAGCTCTAGGTCATTATTTCATGGTGAAATTTGTTCAGGGCATGTAAAAAGCCTGAGGAGAAAGAAGTGAGAACTGACAGATTCTGTGATAAAGGGAAGAAATATTCAGAGAGCCAGCCTTCAGGAGAACAAGAAAAACAAGTCAATGAATTAAGAAGCCCATTGGGCAGGACACCTCAGAGGTAGAGAAGTAAAGGGTTTCAAGTTGTAAAAAGATGGAATTGCACAAAGACAGGAAACATCATGGACCTGAGACATCCCGTCACTGAAAACCAGTGGGGGGGTCTCCTTCTCCCTCTGCCTGCCGCTCCCCCTGCTTGTGCTCGCTCTCTCTCGCTCTCAAATAAATAAAATCTTTAAAAAAAAAAAATTTATCCTGTTAAAAAAATGTAAACACAACAAAAACTCTCAGAACTACTAATCTACCCTTCCTTTCTGTATTTTTCTGTTCTTCCATATTTCACTCCTATAGTATACGAACACTTTTTTTTTTTAATCAATAGGGAAACAGAAGATGAGGCAGATAGGTGGGGCCCAGGATCTACATCTTCATGGTTATTATTATAGGACCCCTAGTGCCTACCCAGCTCACAGGGTGTTATCGGGATGAAATCACATCATATATGTGAAGTTGCCAACACAGTGCACCCCATAACTTCCTTGTGAACAGAAAATCAGTGCTCAATCAACATTGCAGTAATGGATATATACACGTTGTTTTCCAAATAGAGACTTGCTTAGACATCAGTGCATTCAGTAGTCTTCTTTCTGTAAACTTTTTTTTTCTTTCTGTATACTTTAAAGTGCTATGTAAGATGTGGTCCTTCAGGATGGTGATTGTAGTCTTTGCTGGGAACCCACAGTAAACTCACAACAGTGAAAAGTAAATGATAAACTCTTTCCTGGGAACTCCCCAGGAGTTGTTTGTGTTGACGTAGATGGTGGGTGTGGGGGGCTCAGGTGCGCTGTGCCTGCATTCTCTAGTGTCGCCACTAAACGAGGGTCCCCAGGAACAGCATCAGCACTAACAAGTACTTGGGAAAGATGCCAATTCTCAGACCCCATTCCCAACCTGCAGAATCACCATTTCTTCTGTGGGACCTGGAACACCGAATGATTTCTGTGCACAATGAAATGTGAAACACATCATCGTTTATCAGCCTGGGTTTACAGTAAAGATCCCAGGGTGAGTTTTAAGAACCACCATCACCTGGGCCCTCTGCCAGAGTCTGTCTATTGGTCAGGGTGAGAACATCAGTGCTGCTTTAACTATGCGCTTCAGGTGCTTCTCGTGTAGACCAGGGTGAAGCCCAAGGATTCGCAGACACACCTGTGAGAGCAGAGTCTGGCTTTCTGGTGAAGAGAAGCTAACAGACTGTTTGGTCTGCAATTGGAAGGGGCAGGTCCGTGCAGCCCACGTTCCCCGTGCTGTGGCAGGATTTGGTTTTCTATGGGAGGGGAGGACATCTGAAACCAGGAAGGATGAACTCACACGCAAGTGTCCACATAGGAGCTCCTTTTTTTCTGAACCTTTCCTGTGACAAAGGAGAGGGCGGCCTTGTGCATTTCAAGATCCTTCTGCCCCTGAGCTGATGATAGCAGGTGAAGAGGCCGTATTGAGGCCTTTAAAGGCTTACAGGTGTGATTTCTCTATATAATCTCACCTGAGAAAACAATCAAGAGCAGGAGGGAGAGGAAGAAATGGCTGCTTCTCAGGTAAGTTTTGTCTTGACTTAGCTCAGGGCAATGTCCCCATTTCTTACCCGAATGCCATGTGTTTAGAATTTGCATATATACTTCTCTACCTCTGTTTGTCCTTCCTAGCGAATTTGTTTTGGACTGCTATTTATCCTTTTAATGACAGTCAAAGTGAACTCTTTAGGATATTTCTCTCTTACATTGCTGGGGCTGTCTCTCCATTTTCTCCAACTGGGCTTTTTAAGCAGCATGAAGAATTCCTAACATGGATTCATGACCTGGTACTATTGAAAATATTCCCACTATGACAGATCAACAAGAGGATGTGTTGATACCCAAGATTCTCACTTGGGGCTGTGTTGGGTTTCAGGACCCCCGTGAAGGGGGAGAATATATAATATTTAGGTTCCGTCTGGGTGTGGTCTCAGTCTTTGGAAACTAGATAAACATGAACAAACAAACCAGATGGCTGTTGGGCCCAGGCTAAGTCAATGTTCTGAAAAAGAGAAACTTGCTGTCTAGATTCTTTCAAAGAAAGACTTACTATTTGAAATAAAGATTACAGGACATGGGAGCAATCTGTGGCTTGAAATTTTATAACTGCTATATTTTCACAATTGGAATCCTATTTGTTTTTTTTGTTTTTGTTTTTTAGTAAAATCACAGCAGTGATGAGTCCTATGTGCTTCAGGCCCATAATTGCAATTTTTCTCATTACAGCTGATGTTAACTTTGTTCACTTTGTTCAGGGTCTCTCTGCCAGATTCCCCCCAGAAAATGAAGGCTATCACCTTTGTTTACTGGAGATCCTGGTCTTTGCAAATAAAGGTTCTAAATTAGTTTTGGACCTTTAAGTTTCTGTTTTATTCTGCACAATGGCACAGATATTTTCTTTATTTTTGTATTTTTAGCAAAAGGAAACAAGTATATAATTACTATATGTTCACATGTCTTAAAATTCTATAGTGTAACTCAGCCCAAATGACATCATTTCAAGGAAATAATCAGGCGTTTGTTGGTGTAAGGAAGTATTGATGATGTTTTTATCTTGGCTTGAACATTTCCCTTCCCTGAGGTTATCTGCAACCTTCCCTCTACATTTATGATAATTCTAGAAACTACATGGCATAGAATATTGTTGCCCACATCTTAAAATCAGATTTCTATTTTTTTTTAAGATTTTATTTATTTGACAGAGAGCACAAGTAGGGGGAGCAGCAGGGGCAGAGGGAGAGGGAGAAGCAGGCTTCTCGTGGAGCAAGGAGCCCGATACGAGGCTCGATCCCAGGACTCCGGGATCATGACCTGAGCTGAAGGCAGATGCTCAACCAACTGAGCCACCCAGGCACCCCAGATATCTATTAATTTTGATTCAGTAGTGCTTGTAAGCGGAGTTAAGGAGCTTAACATTGAAAAAGCTTCCTAAGTATTCTAAAGAGGCCATTAGAGAATTGCGTTTCAAGAAATAATTTTCTATATCCTTCTGTAATATGCTCTCTTTACTGAGCATAGTACTGGATTTGAACTTGTACATTCTCCATCAAGTCATGTTTCTTTTTCTTATAAACAGGGCTTGCTCTCTCTAGACTGTGTCTGGTCAACTTTGGAAAAGGAAAGAACCCGGCACATGAAGAGAAAGACAGTAGCCACACACCCAGGTAGGTGGGAATGAATGAAGCAGATGACATTGGCGGGGGGGGGGGGGGGCGGGGAACCTTGACCTTAAAATGTGGCTTAGGATGCTCTGCTTGAATGGAATGATTCTGGAAGCTTAGGTTTAATTCTCTGATGGTCACAGAGGGACATCTCCTCTCTCTCTTCACATGCTCCTACATCCTCTAGGGGCTTACCTTCTCTTCCAATGTCTTCCCTGGCATTCACAGTGAAATCCAAAAGCCTCCCCATGGCCAGTGAGACTGTATGTGTTCTGATTGCTTGTGGAAGCATGTGAAAATCTGTACACCTAGGTAGTTTCAAAGTGGAGGCCCCAATGTGATTTACTCTAATTTTTGGGTGCACTGGTCTCCAGACACACACACAGTCTGGTACAAAATCAGGAATGTTGGGTAGACTGACCCTCCCCTATCAAGTCTTATGCAGAACAGCTCTCTCCATGGAGGCTTTCTCACTGACTAGACCCTGTGCTCTGTCCTCAGAAATGTACTTGAGGGGGTGCCTGGGTGCAGACAGCTGGGCATCCGACCCTTGGTTTCCGCTCAATTTTGATCTCCAGGTCTGGGATCAAGCTCTGTGTTGGGCTCCACACTCATTGTGGAGTCTACTTAAGACTCTCTCTGCTCCTCCCCTTTGAAATAAATGAATAAGTCTTTTTTTTTTTTTTCAAGATTTTATTTATTTATTTGAGAGAGAGAATGAGATAGAACATGAGGGGGGAGGGTTAGAGGGAGAAGCAGATTCCCTGCTGACAGCAGGGAGCCCGATGCGGGACTCGATCCTGGGACTCCAGGATCATGACCGGAGCTGAAGGCAGTCGCTTAACCAACTGAGCCACCCAGGCGCCCAATGAATAAGTCTTAAAAAGAAAAAAAGATGTACTTGAGAGCCTCAATGTTTACATTGGTGTCACAGTGGAATGAGTTGGGCCACTTCATTAAGACCTAGTAATACTAGGCTCCATCAAGGACAAAGTGCCAGAATCTTTAGGGCTGGGACATTGGGAATGGTAGTTCTAAAAACTACACAGGGTTCCCAATGTGAAGCAAAACCTGAGACCAGCTTTTCTAAACATTGCTTGTCAAAATTTCATATATATACAAACCAGTTGAGGTTCCCATTAAAAATAGACTCTGGGGACCCACACTCAGATATCATGAATCCCTAGGTGTGGACGAAGCCCATTAATGTGTACTTCTAACAGATATTGATGTTGCTGTTCCCAGGCTTTGTTTCCAGTAGCCCTAATCTAGAGAAAGCAGAAGAGCACGCCTGAGTCCCTCATACCAAACCATCCTATGTCAACACGAATACTGCCATTCCCAGTGAAGACTACTAGCAGCTTCCACAAAGATGAGATTTTCTGCTCATCCCCTGCAAGTTGGGAAGGGACTAGATAAGGCAGTGGTATCTGAGCAAGGCTATTTGGGATAAATAGTATGTGGTCATTCATGAAAGGAATGTTTATTGAGCATCTACTACATGTTCCAGGTATATGAGGATGCAGGGCTCAGGACTCTGTGCCCACAGTGTTAGGCCCGAAGTTTGAAACAGGTATCCAGGGGTGTCAGAAGGTCTGCTGGAGAGGTTGGACTGATGGGCACCTTAAGTGTTCATATTGCACAGGGTGATCAGGGATGGCCAATCCCTGTTCCCCATCCGCTCTGGTGTCCTCTGCATTGCGGCAGGTGCCTGACTCAGGACCTTGAGGGGTTCACCTGTGTTCTTTCTCTGCACACGTGTGAAGTTTTGGCCCTAGGAAGGGCAGAGATGGGAGAGGGCATCAAAAACTCTGAATGTGATAACCCCATCAAAGGGAGATCTGGTCTGTCGTAGATCTGGTTCCAGCTTGCTTGAAGGGTGATCTTCGATGTCTGGGCTTGGGTGAGCTGGGATTCAAGGCTGGTGCTCTGGAGACCAGGGCAGGTGAAGGGAGGAGCACGTGACTGCAGGTTTGGTCCCTGAGAAGGGCAGTGTGTGCCGCAAGTCCTCCGTGCTCGTGTGGAACACCTGGTGGGAAACTCGTGGGGAGCCATTACCGGGAGTGAAATCTGCGGAAGTGAGATGGAGTCGTGTTAGTTTCTTGTGCACATATGTGAAGGTGAGCGAGGGGAGACAGGAAAAGATGTCACACTGGGTCCTGAGCCTACGTTGCAAACGGGAGAGAAATGTAGGCTACATCAGAAAAGTGCTCCAGGGCGCCTGGGGGGCTCAGTTGGTTGAGCGACTGCTTTCGGCTCAGGTCATAATCCTGGAGTCCCGGGATCGAGTCCCGCGTCGGGCTCCCTGCTCGGCGGGGAGTCTGCTTCTCCCTCTGACCCTCCCCCCTCTCATGTGCTCTCTTTCATTCTCTCTCAAATAAATAAATAAAATCTTTATTAAAAAAAAAAAAAGATGGGGCACCTGGGTGGCTCAGTCGTTAAGCGTCTGCCTTCAGCTCAGGTCATGATCCCAGGGTCCTGGGATCGAGCCCCGTATCGGGCTCCCTGCTCGCCGGGAAGCCTGCTTCTCCCTCGCCCTCTCCCACTCCCCATGCTGTGTTCCTGCTCTCGCTGTCTCGCTCTCAAATAAATAAAATCTTAAAAAAAAAAAAAAAAATGAAGTGATATGGGCCACCTGGGTGACTCGGTTAAGCATGGGATTCTGATTTTGGCTAAGGTCAAGATCTCAGGATGGTGAGATTGAGCCCCCAGTGTGGGCTCTGAGCTCAGTGCAGAGTCTGTTTGAGACTCTCATTCCCTCTCCATCGGCCCCTCCCCGTTTGCTCTCTCTCAATAAATCTTTTAAAAAGAGATGAAGTGGGGGCGCCTGGGTGGCTCAGTTGTTGGGCGTCTGCCTTCGGCTCGGGTCATGATGCCAGGATCCTGGGATCGAGCCCCACATCGGGCTCCCTGCTCTGCGGGAAGCCTGCTTCTCCCTCTCCCACTCCCCCTGCTTGTGTTCCCTCTCTGGCTGTGTCTCTCTGTCCAATAAATAAAATATTTAAAAATAAAATAGATGAAGTGATGCACATTCAAATTTTCAAGAGTTAATTTGTCTATTCAAATGACTAGGCATGTTCCACCTGTAGGACCTAGCAATGAGGTTTTTATAGAGAGGAAATGGAAGAAAAGCAAGGACATTGTTTGATTGGATATACCTAAAGCAGTTGCCTTATTTTTGGAAGGTCTAGTTGACAGTAATCATTTGTTCTTAAGTTCATTTTCTTCCATTCCAGTGTATTGACTGTGAATTAAGTTGGGGTTTGTTTACAGAGGCTTCCAAGGCATTAAAGTCACCTGAGTCTATGGCTTCCCTGTTTAATTCCTTTAACAGTGGAAATAGTTGGTAGGGTATTATGGTTGTGGTGGTGGTAGTGGTTTTTATCTATTTGCAAGGTTCAGCAATTGTCCACTCATTGTAAGAATGTAGTCATGACAACAGTCTCGTGCCCAGATCCACCCAGTTAAGGCACATGTGTACAAATCAGAGATCCACATTTCATGATGTGTGTTATAGCAGGAGACATACATTTAACTATATAAGTGTATAAACAAGGTGTTTTAACAAGGGTGTTATTTTTTTTAAAGATTTTATTTGACACAGAGACACACAGCGAGAGAGGGAACACAAGCAGGGGGAGTGGGAGAGGGAGAAGCAGGCTTCCCGCTGAGCAGGGAGCCCGATGCGGGGCTCGATCCCAGGACCCTGGGACCATGACCTGAGCCGAAGGCAGACGCTTAACTACTGAGCCACCCAGGCACCCCAAGGGTGTTATATTTACAATTACTGTGCGATATGATGTTTTAGGAATGCAGTAAATCCGTTTCTACTGGTGTGAAACCACCACCTCAAGTCCTAATCCTCAGTACCTGTAATTGTAACTTTATTGGGCAATAGGATCTTTGCAGATGTAGTCAAACTAAAAGGTCACACTGGATTCAGGTAAACCTGAATTCAGTGACTGCTATCCTAATGACGAGGGAAATTTAGACATACACAAAACAGTGTGTAGTGATGAAGGCAGAGACTGAGCAATGCATTTACTAGCCGAGGAAGGCGAAGGATAGCTGACAGTCCCCAGAAATTAGGAAAAGGGAAGACTCAATTTTTTTTTAAAAGATTTTATTTATTTATTTGAGACCGAGAGAATGAGAGACAGCATGAGAGGGAGGAGGGTCAGAGGGAGAAGCAGACTCCCTGCCGAGCAGGGAGCCCGATGCGGGACTCGATTCAGGGACCCCAGGATCATGACCTGAGCCGAAGGCAGTCGCTTAACCAACTGAGCCACCCAGGCGCCCCGGGAAGACTCAATTCTTGAGATAAAGTGTGGCCCTACCAATAGGTTGGCTTCAGATTTCTAAGAACCTCCAGAACTGTGAGACAGTAATTTTTTGGGTTGTTTAGCTCCCATAGAAACCTAAAAATCACAAACTCCCCATAAACAAAAACTTCCTCTCCTTAAATGACTTTTTATAACCTCCAAATTTAATGACAACTTCATTATAAAACTTTGTCACTTTGAAGACCATGTGGGTGAACCACTGAAAGTCATAATACCAGTCTGGTCAGTTGATATAATCACTAAATAAAAAGAATTGCCTTTTATAGATCCCCAAATTATGCCTTTATCCATGACTGCGTGTGTATAAACTTTTCATATTCACTGGAGATCTTTAAAAGATCAAGTACATCTCTTTTTGCCCTCCGTTAACATACATTCAATTTCATATGTGCCCATTTTCACGTGAATTTAAATATAAGTTTCTTCCATAACTTCATAATTCAAATGAATACCATCTCTCTAGGATGGATTGTGCAAAGTTTGTAAGTTGACCCATCATTTCTCTACTGCCCCAAACTGAATTTGCCATCCAGCTGCACCACAGCCTACTTCATTATTCTGCATGTCCATTGTTTTCTTCAGCTTCTTGAATGACCATCATGTGCCTCCTTATTGATAAAATTGTCCTAAATTCCCATGCCTACTTAACATTTGGGAAAT